TACCCTCTTTGAAGGGTAGATGGTAAAAGGCATTAATGAGCTGAGTCTTCCGCTCCTGCGCGATCCGTGTTACATTATGGAAGCTTAGACGCATCAAGTGCATGATGATTTCCTTTCAGCTTCCATTTGACCTTTCTCATGACCTCGAAATCAAGACTTATACAAACCTCAGTTCTCATAGCGAAATACCAGAGAGAATGTATCAGGAGAAGAAAAAAGGTAAGTTCCAAGTTTTGTCCTCGTTAACGTGGACAACACAGAAAAAAGCAAAATTCAAACAAAAACACAATTGTTACCTTTGCATAATCTCGAAGTATAGTCGAACTCAAAGCCAGTCGGACAGATGCATTTGAAGTGACACTTTGTGTCGACAGATTCATTCAGGTTCACGCATTTCGCACCGAACGGACAGTCGTTATATTTAGAATTGCAGAAATCAATTTCTGAATAAACATTTAGCGGTCAGTGAACAAAAAAGTCGTAAGCATACTTTTACACACGTTGATACCGTCCCCTTCATACGGGTACTTGCACCGGCAAGGATAGTAGTAGTCTGTAGATATGCATTCCGCGTTCGGATGGCAGGTCGTTCGCGCACATACGTCGATTCCTGCGCAGAGCGAGAGGATGAGGTTTAAACTTGACACAATTGGCAAAAGTATCTGAACGATGCAAGCAAGGGGCAACACTCACTAGTGCAATGGATGCCATCTCCTGAGAAGCCTGCTTGACACGTGCAGTTCAGGGTTTCATACGACGTTCGCAGACAGACGGCGTTTTTGTCACAGGAAGAACAGTTGGTTTTCTCTTAAGAAACAAATCAGCAAAATATAGCATACGGTATGTAGCAGACGAAATTACCGTAGCAATGACCATGGAGACCGGTACCGTAATATCCGCTTTTGCATTTACAGTAGTATCCACCGTGAGTATTGACGCAGTTGGCGTGCTCGTCGCAAACGGCTAGGTTCTGCTCGCATTCGTTGACGTCTTCGCACTGCACCAGCGTACCGCCTTTATCGTCGAATACCGCCTTGGTTCCGGCGGTGCAAACGCACGAGTAACCGCCCTCGGTGTCCAAGCATTCAGAAAACTTCGGACAGTTGAACATTCCGGTCTTGCACTCGTCGTTGTCTAAAAGTAGACGAAGAACAGCAACTTTTACCATGGAAGAAAAAACGACTTCCATTCTGCTTTAAACAACGAAATATGAGCTGTGCCTGGCAGCCATTGACAAGGCACAGCAAACTAGCTTTGAAAAACATATGTCAATGAAAGTTTATCATCGTGAGGAACCTGTGACTCCAAGCTGCTGCAGTTCCTCACTGCTTTCCCCAGTTACAAACGGGGCGACTTGCCATGCATGTCTACCACGGGAGTGCTGGAGGTGGAAGGAACACTACCAGTCAATGGAGAGTTCTGCACTAAACTACAAGGGCAGTTTCGGTGGTTCGCCGGATCACTCGAAAATGACACCTGACCAATTCAGCTAGAATTGCAGCGGACTATTTGGAATTTATGAAATGACCTGAGCCACCGCATCGAATGGCATCTGTTTTAAACTCCTGAATTCAGGGGGTTCTTCTGCGTTAATCAGTCACCATGCTTTCTTCGGGCAAGTCTGTAAGTCAGGCCAGTTTCTAGCTGATTGAAAGAGCGGTGGAATGGCTCCATGAACAAGGATAAGGTTCTGACAGCAGCTCCTACCGCTGTAAGACGCGCTTACATCAATTCCATCAGAGGTCTTCGTTCACGTTCCACTGGAAAGACTGGTTCCACCTTTATCACGTCGACGACCAGAACATTCCAGCTTCACGCCTGGCAGGAAGACAGTGGATGCATTGTCCACTATCCATCTGCTTGCGAAGCTGTACCGGGATTCGATCAACATTTTCATGCTGCCCACATGGATCTCGAACCTGCGTTCGACTCTGCCGATCAGAGTGCTTTAGGAATTGCGCTTGAGAGCCGAGGCATTCCCCGACTATCGTCGGTCCATATGCAAGACCTGAACACTAATTCCATATCCTCCGTCAAGTTTCAACCACCTTAACTTTAACCTATATATCTTATGCTAAATTGTGTCAGCTGCCAAGTGATCAAGACCAAGTGGGCATAAATCAGCCAACATGGTCCTACATCACGTAAACTC